AGGCAGTTTGGCCCAGTGGGAGGCTCACTTTGACAGCTTGTTCTACGAGCCTTTACTTTCTCATCTGTAAAATGGGAGAGGGGGATGGATGGGGTCTCTTCCAGCTCTGTTGTCCTGTGCATGCAAAGGCAGCTCGGGGCGATGGAACCTCTGGCCCTCTGGGACACGGGCGCCCTGGCCAGGGCTAGATTTAGAGTTGAGACCCAGGTTCAAATCTTGACCCTGCTACTCAATACGTGTGTGACTTGGCACATCTCTTCTTCTGGGTCTCAGTTCCCTCATCTGTAAAATGGGGAGTTAGATCAGGTCATCCCTAAACTTTCTTTCCATTTCCGGGTCTTTCGGTCCCCATTCCCAGACCCACTAGTCCCTGTCTCTGGCATTCCAGCTCCAGCCAGTCAAGAATTCTTGACCACTGGCAACCTGCCAAACACTTTGTGTCACTTCCGCAGCTGCCATGCTCAAGGCCAAGGGGGCCTTCTTAGGTGGCCCAGGCCCTGGCCATGGTGCTGCCCTCAGCTGACAAATACTGACAGAGCTCATTCTGTCTCAGAGCTGGGAGCAGCCTCACCTTGAAGGGCAGCTAGAACAGCTTCCAGCCCAGTGGAGCAGGAATGCCTGGAAAGATGCCATCAGGCCATGGAGAACCTACTTTTTACCCAGGCAGCTCATTCCATTCTCGGGCACCTCTAATCGTCAAGAAGCTTCTCCTCACTTCAAGCTCTTCGGTCAGGAAGACCCGAGTTCAGATTGGCTTCACACTTGCTAGCTGTGTGACCCTGGGCAAGTCAATTCACCCTGCTTGCCTCAGTTTCCTAATCTGTAAAATGAGCTGGAGAAGGGAAATGACCAACCACTCCAGTATCTTTGTCAAGAAAACCCTAAATGGGGTCACGGAGAGTTGGACACAACTGAACAGCAACAGGATGTCTACTTGGAAGGGAACACAGAGACCGTCAAGTCCAATCTCCTCATTTTACAGGTGAGGAAACTGAGGCTCAGAGACATTGAGTGATTTGCCCAGTGTCACACAGCTGGCAAATGTCCGAGGCAGAATTCAAACCTACATCTTCCTGACTAAACCCAAAACTTTCAGGGCCAGTTAGGTGACACAGAGGATAGAGCTCTGAATTTGGAGTCAGGAAGACCTGACTTCAAATCCTGCTTCAGATACTGCCTGTGTTAACCTGTGTGACTCTTCTCTGGGGCTCAGTTTCCTTATCTGTAAAAATAGGAATAATAATGGCACCTACCAAACAGGGCTATTGTGAAAATAGAATGAGCTATTTGCTTTGCAAAACTGTGAAGCATTATGTAAATGCAAGTTGTTACTATGTTACATAATAATGTGTTCTAGTTATATCATCATCATCATCATCATTATCCACTATACCACAGTGGCTTTCAGAGATTAGTTTATCCAACTCATACCTGACAGGAGTCCCTGCTATGAAGATCCAAGTGGTCATCGAGCCGCCTCCTTTTTTTTTTTTTTGGTTAGGCAATGGGGTTAAGTGACTTGCCCAAGGTCACACAGCTAGTAAGTGTGAAGTGTTTGGTTTGCGGCCAGATTTGAACTCAGGTCCTCCTGACTTCAGGGCCAGTGCTCTTTCCACTGCTCCATCTACCTGCCCCCACTGCTCCACCTAGCAGCTCCGAGCTGCCTCCTTTTAAAGACTTTCAGTGATAGGGAAGGAGGTCAGCCTTTCCACTCTTGGATGCCTTGAATTGTCAAGGAGCTCGCCTTTAGACTGAGCAGAAGTCTGCCTTGAGAGCTGAGATCAGCATTCAGCTGGCTGCCACCTCCTCTGAGAAGTCTGCCTTGATTCCTCCCAGGTGGTGGTGGCCTTCCCCCAACCTCTGGTGGGACTCCAGCAGCATCTCTGGAATGGGATTGGCCATAATACTGTGCCTCTGAGTTGTTGGTGTCTATGTTTGTGTCTGTGTCTGTGTCTATGTCTATGTC